TAAACATCTATCTATAATTTTCATATCCATGGCGCCATTATCGGACGCATGGTATAACCGTAATATTAGTCCTAGTCGTAACTATTCTCATAAATCGATGAAAGAAACAGTCACGAGAATGAAAAACTTCCTCGGAAGTCTACAAAATCCCATAGCCATTTCTCGCAGCTTTAGATAACAAATCTTCACAAACATTACTTTACATAATTAATCAAAGATTAAATTACACAAACGATTTATGCTTACACTGATACTATATTTAATATTACTTTGTAAAACTCATTATATACTCGCTTGAAAAACGTCGCAATCATCTCCCGATGACCTGCCAAAAACCAACACGTGCTAAAGTGGCGAGTTTTCTTTTGTTTCTATTACATTTGTGAGTTATATTACCGGATAGTGAAAGGCGGGAAGCATAATAATAGTGTAATATAGTGAGCATGATATAGCGGAAGATTGTCATTTATCAGTATGTAATAGCTGAATGCTTTCAACATGTTATGGTGGAACACAGTTAGCATGTTATAGCAGAAGGTTCTCAGCATGTTATAGCAGTAGGTGTTAGCATTTTATAGCAGAAAGGTCTAAGCATGTTATAGCAGAAAGCTCTAAGCTAAGCATGTTATAACAGGGTGTTACCATGTTATGGTAGTAGCTGTTAGCATGTTATAGCAATAGCTGTTAGCATGTTATAGCAGTAGCTGTTAGCATGTTATAGCAGTAGCTGTTAGCATGTTATAGCAGTAGCTGTTAGCATGGTAATGTAGTGTGTCAGCATGTAATAGGAGAAAGCTCTCCGCATGTTATAACAGGCTGTTAGCATGGTGATGTAGTAGCTGTTAGCATGTTATAGCAGTAGCTGTTAGCATGGTAATGTAGTGTGTCAGCATGTAATAGGAGAAAGCTCTCCGCATGTTATAACAGGCTGTTAGCATGGTGATGTAGTAGCTGTTAGCATGTTATAGCAGTAGCTGTTAGCATGTTATAGCAGTAGCTGTTAGCATGTTATAGCAGGCTGTTAGCATGGTAATGTAGTAGCTGTTAGCATGTTATAACAGGCTGTTAGCATGGTAGTGTAATAGCAGTTAGCATGTTATAGCAGTCGCTGTCAGCATGTAATAGGAGAAAGCTCACCGCATGTTATAACAGGCTGTTAGCATGGTAGTGTAATAGCGCTTAGCATGTTATAGCAGTCGCTGTCAGCATGTAATAGGAGAAGGCTGTCTAGGTTAGAAACGGTGATCAGCACGGGCAAGTCTACGGAGCAAAAAACCCAAACCGCGTAAAAATATGAGCGAGAGTCACGTTGATCAACACTACCAATATCGCTCATTAGCCAGTGATTAAAACCATTCATTAGCAACCGGAAGGGAATTAATGAACCAGTATCATAATAATTGCTTGCTTCGGTCTTACGCATTCGAGACGAGCGTCACTATGCTATCACTTTATTTTCCACAATAGCCGCGACAGCTCCAGCATTCCTAATTTTTTTAATTAAAATATATAAGCTCCTCGTGCTCTCTAGTGTATTTTACCACAGCAATTTATATGTGAATAGATTTATGCAGCGGTGCTCAAAGACAGGTGCATTAAAAGCTCACGGCTCGAGAGCGCATAGCAAGCTTTTTTTTGCAACACTACAAAATACTTCTTGGTAAATTTTGAACCGAAAGATTTTCCATATACTGTATTTCAGTTCCGATTTCGCTGATAATGTCTTAAACCACCTACACCAACCTTCCTGCTTACTTGTGTCATTTGAACCAAAGCCAATTTCGATAGATTGCCCAGCAAAATGCAAAGGCAGACATATTGACTGAAGCACTAGTAGAGCGCGGAGCAAGCAAGAACACTAGCAAGAGTGCGGAGCAAGCAATCGCATTCATGTGGTAAGCATGCGACCACGCGAGCAGACGCACTTTACTATGTAATTATCTTCTAACGTCTGCGTACGAGCTAACACGCCTGCGAATAGCGGGGAAAGTTCAGTAGGGAGAAGTGGCGGGGGAAATAGAGGGCACGCAGGCACACACACACACACACACACACACACACACACACAAGAGAGAGAGAGAGAGCGAGAGAGAAAGAGAGAGAGAGAGAGAGAGAGAGAGAGAGAGAGAGAGAGAGAGAGAGAGAGAGAGAGAGAGAGAGAGAAAGAGAGAGAGAGAGAACGATCCGCGAGTAGCGGTAGCGGGCGGGGTGGGGATGGTCGTTGATACTTTACACGTGCTGCACACGTGTATGGCAAGCCATTTGTATCATAATTCGAGAAACCACGGTTCCTCGCACGAAACCAGGTTTCGTGCTCACAAAACCTAGTTTCTTGCTCAAGAAACTAGTTTCTTGCTCAAGAAACCAGGGTTCTTGCCATGAAACTAGGTTTCGCGGGACGAAACCTGGTTTCTAGCCCTATAACCGCAGTTATAGCTGGAATCTTAGTTTCTTGAGCAAGAAACTAGGTTTTGGAAGCAAGAACCTAGGTTTCAGCAAGAAACCCACTTTCAACCGCGCCATTTGTATCATAATTCGAGAAACCACGGTTCCTCGCACGAAACCAGGTTTCGTGCTCACAAAACCTAGTTTCTTGCCATGAAACTAGGTTTCATGGCATGAAACCTGGTTTCTAGCCCTATAACCGGAGTTATAGCTGGAATCTTAGTTTCTTGAGCAAGAAATTAGGTTTTGGGAGCAAGAACCTAGAGGCGTTTTTATCTAAGCGAAAGCGCTTTACGGTTTCGCAAATCTTCCATTTATCTAGACGGTTTCGTGAAAGCGCTTTGGTCGTTTCTCGTTTTTATCTAGACGGTTTGCGAAAGTGCTTTGCGAAACCGTCGAAATCGCCCAGTGAGCGATTTCAGACGGTTTCAACATTCAATATGGCGGATAGTCAAACGTAAGTTATTAAGTAGTTTTCTTAATAAATGATTATATAAGAATAATACTGGTTTCCGGTCGCTCGATGGTTTCTCGAATCTATGATACCAAATGGCCGCGGATTAGAAAGTGGGTTTCGTTGGCCGTGAAACCTAGAGGCGGTTTTTATCATAAGCGAAAAAGCACCGTAAAATCGGTTTCCTATAATCACGTGATGCAAAGCGTTTTGGTAGATAAGCGCTTTCTGTTACAGTAAAAAAGCAAGACTGGATCAGCCATTTGCTGTAGGATTAGAGCTGATCTTTGTAGGCGTTATTTAATAACACCATTAACGAGT